GATACAGCTTCTGCCCAAGACTCCTGCTGTGTTCTGCCAAGGGCCACCGCCCCCTGCTGGCCACCACTGGCAGCTCCCCAGACCCTATCAAGGCTGGGTATCCACAAGAGAAAGAGTCCAACTGTTGGCAGCAGGGGTGGCAGGTGCCCGCAGTTCCAGGCCAGTTGCTTTATCAGGGCAATGCAGCGACTGAGGGATACCCAAAGAAGCACCGATCCAGATGCCAGACTGTTGCCAAGGACTTTTCTGAGCGAAAGAGAAAGGAAGGGCTCCGTGGACATCAGGCCACTCCAGGCAGGCTCCGGGTTCAGCGTCTTCAGTGGCGAGGGACGCCTCCTAAAGGACTGAAGGTTAGGGGCCCACTCCCTTCTAGGACAGGGCAGGATTGGCCGCCTCCACGCAGGAAGCTTCTCTCGCCCCCACCTTGTTTGTGGGAGGCAGCTGGACGTACCTGGGCTCCTGGGGCCAACCCAGAGGCAGGGCACATCTGCTCCCCTGGCTGTGCCCCTCTGGGGGTGGGGGTGGGGGTCACGGCTCCAGGCTGCCACCGCTCCCTCCCGCATCCACCTGCTCGTCAGGAGCCAGCAGGCCTTGAGCTCCCACTGTGCTGGGGTCCTTCTCTGGGGCTGGCTTCCTTGAGGTGCCCTTTGCAGCATCCAGCGCCTTCCAAGGCAACTTCTGCAGGCTTCTTGGCTGGGCAGCCGCCTCCTGCCCACTCCCCTGATGCTGTTGGGCAGCCGGAGGGGGTTCTTCGCTGCCCCTTCCGGCTTGGCCCACGGTCACATAAATGGTGTTGATACTGGGCTCATGGACGCAAGCTTCCACAGTGGCTGCATCCGGGGCCCCCGCTCTCTGCGCCAGGTGCTGGGAGCTGCCAGGATGGTGGCCTGCAGGGGCCCAGCCACCGTCCTCCCAGGGAGCTGGTGCCACGTTCTCGTAGCAGCTTCTGCCCGGGGAGTGGCATGAGGCCCCCGTGGGGCGGTTGACCTGCAGAGGAGGAGCTCCTTGGACTGAGCTCTCGGAGGCCGGGCGGGGCTTCCGGGTGGGGTTGAGGGCCTCTGGGGGGCCCCTGGGGCTTTGAGGGCCAAAGTGGGTCCCTTCTGCAAAGGAGACGGAGGGCCGCTTGCCCTTGGCGAGGCTGGAGGTGCGAGGGATGGCGAAGGGCGAGGGGTGCAACGCTGCTGCCCCGGGGAGAAGGCTGCCCTCTGGCAAGGCTGGAAGAGCAGAGAAGAAGAAAGGCCGCTGCGCTGGGCTTACCCAACCAGGACAGTCTCTGCACCCCAACCAGGTGTGGTGGGGCAAGGGGTACAGCTGGGCAGGCGGCCTGCTCAGGGGCCTCATCCCACCGCACTTGGAGGTCATGGCACACCTGCAGCTGAGCCTCACCTGCACATTAGGCCACAAGCATCTCCTTCCCTCCAGGGTTGAGCCAAGGCAGCAGGGCCACAGCCTCCCCTCACCCCTAGGCTTTTGGTAGGAGATTGGACAGCCACTTGTATGAAATAGTGTAAGGCTTTCTGCTCGTGCAGGGGGTTAGACTAGAAGACCTTCAAGGTCCCTTCCTGTTATTCTGTCTGCATTCTCCCTTCCTCCCAAAGGGTCAGCCGCGAAATCAGGGTGGGGCCCTCGGGGATTGCCAAAACTGGCTTTGGGGCCGGAGGGTCCTTCTCCCCGGTTTGGCACTACGACCCTTTGGCAAGCGGTGACAAGAAGATAGATTTAGGCTTACTGGGGAGGGGACCCTGCCTCTCCCCCCCCACACACACACTCCTACCTTCCCTGGGAGGGGGAGCAGACTGCGGCCCTTCTTGACGGCCCCCCGTTTCCTCGTTGGCTCCCTCGGAGGAGGAGCCGAAGGAGCTGTCCCAGGGCCAGGCAGTGGATGTTGGTTCGATGAAACTGGGGTTGAAGGGGACCTCCGGGTCTCGGTGGGCGACTGGGGGAGGGAGGAGAAGCGTCAGAGCACGGCTATCGGGCCCAACCCTTCCCGCCCCAGGCCCTGCCCCTCAACCCCCTTGAGCTCCTGGGACAGCGGGCAAGCGGAGGGAGGGGGCCCAGGCAGGCAGGCCCCTTGGTGCTGGCGCTCCTTGGGGGTAGATCCCCACCTGTCACCCGTGGAAGCTTCGAGCCCCCTTGTGAGAAGCAGGGCCAGCCGGAAGGGAGGCTGGGCAGCCCGGCCATCAGGCGGTGCTTCACTGGAGGGAAGAGATCTCGCTCGGCCCCTGGTGCCCTAGGAAAGAGAGGGACCCCGTTTTCCCTGCCCAGGCCTCCTCTGGCCGGGCAGGGGCTCATTGCACTGGAGTCCCAGGGTGGCTTGAGGCAGGAGGTGTAAATGGAGCTTTTCAGCCCCCTCCCCGTGTTGGACTAGACTGAACCGTCTTCCCCACGGACCCTGGGTTGTTCTGCTCAAGCCCATCTTGGATGGGATTCCATCCAGTCCCAGGGAGAACACCATGCACACCCCTGCGGTGGACCCAGCCAAAGAGGGTCCATTCGGGCTCTTCTGGCTGTGTGGGGGAGGGGCCCTCTCACCTGACCACAGAGGCTGCCCCACGGCAGCGCTGGCAGCAGCAGAGGAGGCCCAGCAGGAGGAGCAGGAGCAGGAGGGGCCCCAGGATGCCTGCAAGGAGGAGCCCCCGGCCTCGGGCTTCTGGGAGAGGAGGAAGAAGTCAGAGCAGTGAGGAAGCCCCCTCCCCAAGGGGCACCTTCTAGATAGGCCTCAGGCTCACCCGGTGGGCAGGCTCCGGAGACGGGCTGGCAGGCTCCCCCTGCACAGGGACAGGCCGCAGAACAGTTGGGGCCATGGGAGGCTTCCGGGCAGGTCTGGTTGCAGCTGCAAAGGAGGGAGGCAGAGAGAAAATGGGGCGCACGACTGGGGGGGAGTGCAGGACATCCCTGCAGCCACAGCCCCCCACCCCCACCCCTCGTTACCTGGTGCCCCAGTAGCCAGGCTGGCAGAGGCAGGTCCCAGAGCCAGGATCACAGCTCCCATGGAAGCAGTCGGGGCAAGGGGACCGGCAGCCCTCCCCAAAGAAGCCGGGGGGACAAGGGGCCTCACACCTGCAGCAAAGCCATGGAGGGCTTGAGGGGCGGAAGCGAGGAGAGCACAGGCCTGCTCTGGGGCAGGAGCAGGCCCCCCACTGGCCCCTTCCCTCCCACAGCCCTGCAAGGCTTCTCCTTGCTTGCTTTTCTCCCTGTTTCCGGCAGCCAGAAAGACCCCGACGGCGGCGGCAGCTGCTGGTGCAGAGGGCCGAGGCTCACAGCCCCACCTGGCCCCCGTGAATCCTGCCTCGCAGTTCCAGCATCGTCCTGTCTGCGCTTGGCAAGCCTCTCCTTGGAGACAGTGGCGGGGGCACGGCTGGCTGCAGTTCTCTCCATAGAGCCCTGGAGGGCATGGCTGCCTGCAGTGGGTCCCGTTCCAGCCAGGGTCGCAGGCCAGGCAGGCCCCCTGCGTGGGGGAACAGGGCTCTCAGTTTCTGCAGTGGCCACAGCTGCAGGAGAGAAAGGGCGCAGGTGGCAAGTGGGCACCCTGGCAGCCCAGTGCTCGGCTTCTCTGCTCTTCCCCTGGCCTCTCTGGGTGGGCAAAGGGCACCCCAGTCTCCCCTGAGGCTCCTCACCTCTGGGCACACTGGAGTCCATAGGTCCCCTCAGGGCAGGCCTCTGTGCAGCTGGGGCCCCTGTAGCCAGCATCACAGGTACAGCGTCCATCCTGAGGGGCGCACAGGCCGTGCACACACTGGCAAAGGTGCTGGCAGGCTGCCCCCCACCACCCCGCCGTGCACTCGCACCGCCCGGACTCCTGGGCGCAAGGCGATCCATTGCAGCTGCAGAGAGAGGCGCACCGCCTGCCCCACCAGCCCCGATGGCAGAGGCAGCGTCCGGTGGCTGGGTCACAGCGGGAGCCCAAGCGATTGCACTGGCACTGCCTCCGACAATCAGGGGCCCACCAGCCTGGATCACACCGGCAGGTGCCTGTGACAGGGTGGCAGTGGCCTCGCTGCCCACACAGGCAGGCCGACTGGCAGAGTGGCCCCCACCAACCCAGGTGGCAGCTGCACTCTCCGCTGGCTGGATGGCACCTGCCTTGGGGGTGGCAGCTGCAGCTCTGCTTGCAGTCTGGGCCCCAGAACTGCTCCGGGCAGCCTGAAAGAGAAGCACAGGCCTCTTCAAACCCTGGACCGGGCCCTCCCCCCACGGTAGGGTGGCCGGAAGCAGGGTCTGTCAGAGACCCTGGTGCCCTGCCAACTTGGGAGCGCTTTCCTGCCCAGCCAGGCCAAGGGGATCAGGAGGGAAGTCAGCCCACAGCCAGGGCAGGAAGGTGGGGGGTCGCCCTCGGCTGATGGTGCCAGCACAGAGTTGGGGGGAGGGGTTCTCCAACAGGCAAGGAAAGCCGTAGTCAAAGTTGCCTACCGACCCCCTCGGAATTGGGGGAGTGGTTTCTTGGCTTGCCCCCACTGGGCGGTACTCACGGGCGTTGCAGTTGGCCCCGAAGAAGCCCGGGCGGCAGCGGCAGACTGCCGGGCGAACGCAGATCTCCCGCTCCTGGCAGGCGTCGGCGCCCAAGCAGAGGGCTACGGGGAAAGCGGGGGGGGGGGGGCGGGGGCCAGGTGAGGGGACCTTCTCCTCCCCTCAAAGCATCAGCACAGCCGCCGCCGTTGTCAGTCGGGAGAGGGACACCCTGCAGCTCTGCCCCGCCCTTCGGCCTTCCCCGGGGCAGAAGGAACCGCGTCGGGCCTGGGTCCCTGCCTGGCCTTTGCCCCTCCGCCTTCCCGAACCCCAGGCGAGGGGGGCGGTGGGCGTGCAAGCAGGAAGCCTCTCGCACGGAGAGCAACTCACCGAGGGGGCACTCGGGCCCCACTTGCTTCCATCCCGGGCAGCAGACGAGGGCGGGCGGCAGACTAGCGGGAGAGAGACCGGCCTGAGCCAGAGAGCCCGGGGGCCCCACTTTGGCCATAGCTGCTCGGCCCTCCTCGGCTGAGCCACCCGCCTCCTCCCTTCAGAGGCTGAAGAACCAGGAGTCAAGCGCTGCCGGGCCCGCCGGGCGAGCAAGATCGTCCAGCGCGCTCCGAGGCGAAGCGGCGCTGCTCCAGGATTCTTGGCGAGGCTCAAACAGCCCCAACAAGAACCGGGAGCCTCCGCCGGGCTGCCCCCACGGCTCCCGGCTTTCCCGCCCGGTCCGAGCACGGGAAGTCCGCTGGGGCCTCGGGCGGACCTTAGCGGAGACTGGGCGGAAAGGGAAGGCGCGGGCGAGGGCCGGGGGAGAGCCGCAGACGGCAGGCGAAGCCCCGCCGGCGCCCTTCGGCCCCTGGAGCGGAATCGCCCCGCCCCCGTCGGGGTTGCTCTGCCCGGCAGAGCGGAGCGCCCCGAAGGCCGTCGGCGAAAAGCGGGACCGGCCGGCTCTCCCCCCTCCCTACCTATCTTCCGCCACGCACACGTGCCTTCCCCCGAGCTCCAGCTTCGGGGAGCCGCGCCCGGGGTCCGGCAGGCCGAGCAACAGCAGCAGCAGCAGCGGCGGCAGAACCCAGCGGCGCTCCATCGTCCCGGAGGCCCGGCTGGGAGAACTTGGGCGGCCGCGACCCTCCGCGCAGAAGCGCCTCCCGCTTGTTTCCTGCGGGTCTTCCTGAGGAAGCCGGCCGGGCAGAAGAGGAAAGGGGCCGGGGAGCATCGTCGCCCGAGAGGCTTGGCAGGGTGGTCTCTGGCCGGGCCCCTCCCGGATTCTGCAGGAGGCCTTTGGGAGGCCCCGCACAAGGCAGCCTCCCGCCCAGCGGAGCCCACGGGGGTGGGGTGGGGCCGGGACAGACGGACGGACGTTTTGTCTCATGGATTCTGGCAGAACTCCAGGCTGGGACCCGCCCTCCGTATCCACGGGCCCCAAAGGGTCAACGAAGGGACCCCACGGAACCCGGATTGGTCAGATCGTCTGAAGTCCGCGCAGGAGCAGCAGCGGTCAAAACCCCAAGCAGGACTTTGTTTTGTTCCAAGCTAGACGAGCTAAACAAAAGAAACGAGAGAGCCTCGTGTGCCTGTTCTTGTCTGGGACCAGATCAGCTGCCCCTTCCACAGTGAGGCTGAGCAGGAGCCTCCCCCCCCCCCCACGACTCCCCTTCACCCCCCCTGCCAGCCCCCCCCCCCACCAGTCTCTGTCTAAGCATCACAGTTTCCTCCTGAGACCTTCCTGGAGGGTGGGGGGAGCATTCTTGTCTCCCCCTTTCCTGGAGGTCAGAGCAGATGTGCACGAAAGGCTTGTTTTGAGTGGGAGGGGGGCACCTTGGTGGGGTAGGGCATCCTCCTACCTGGCCATGCCTCCTCCCTCCACTTCAGTCACAGATGGGGGCGGAGGGTGATTTCCACTTCCTCCCAAGGAGGCTCTTCATTCCCACTTGCACATTTTCCTTTTAATCATCCTTGTGGTTTTGGTATTGGTTGCACACTAGCTGGCTATCCGGGAAGACTGCAGGCGCAGGACAATGGACAACTCTTGTTCCAAGCGGTTCCCAGAAGGCACAACTTTGTGTGGAGGGAGGGTCAGGTCAGAGGTGGGATTCAAATGTTTTAACAACCGGTTCTGTGGGCGTGGCTTAGTTGGTGGGCGTGGCTTGGTGGTCATGTGACTGGGTGGACATGGCTTGGTGGTCATGTTATTGGCTGGGCGTGGCCAACTCAATATCACCCACATTGAGGCACGCATCTCCTTGCCTGGCCTCTGCTGACTGTGGGGATGCTGCAACAGTCGTAAGTGTGAAAAATGGTCATGAGTCATTTTTTTCAGAGCCATTGTAACTTTGAATGGTCACTCCACACAAGCAAAGTACCAGCAAAGGAGGGAAAAAAAACTCCAGAGAAGTTTCTGAGACAGGAAGTCTAGTCCTGCCAAGAATGTAATAAGGGTTAACAGAGAGGCAGTTTCTGTAAGCAACACCAGAATGTTTCCTTCCTGCCTTCCTTACAGGATTAGCCCAGGAATTTCTTCTAACAACCGGTTCTCCGAACTGCTTAGAAGGTTAACAACCAGTTCTAGCGAATAGTTGCGAACTGGTAGAATCCCACCCCTGGGTCAGGTGGAGGTTGTCCAGGATGGAAACCAGGCAGCCGGTTCTGGGCACAGCCCCCGCTGGGCAGGTCCTGACTGCCTTCTGGAGAGGCGAGGGGTCTGGGAGGGCAACCCCCACTGGGCTGCTCTCCGTGCTTCCCAAAGTGTCAGCAATAAGTGTCCCGACTCAAGGAAGTAGGGAAGAGGAGCCACCGGGGGGCATTTCTTCCTTCTCCTCTCCTCCTGGACCCACATCTTCTGCGTTGATGATCTCCCAGGTTCCTGGCCTGCTTTCCGTGGGGCTGGGCTGGGAGGTTCTGCGATACCACTGGTTGAAACTGGGAGGGGGAGACACAGAGGAGACCCCTGAGAACCGAGAGCAAGAAAATGCCTTTGTCCCTGGGGCCCCCGGGGTTCTCGGCAGGGACTGGCCTTGCTATGGGGAGAGCTGCACGTGAGTAGGGATGCGGTCAGCGCCACCCCAGGCCCCTCGGCATCCCAAGCCAACCTAGGGTGCTTGGCCCAGTGGGGAGGTTGCTGTCAGGAGATGGGCAGTTCTAGTCCCGCCTTAGGCATGAAAGGCAGCTGGGGGACTTTGGGCCAATCTCTGTCTCTCAGCCCAACCCGCCTCACAGGGTGGTTGGGGGAGGGGGGGGGAATAAGAGGAGGGGGGAGTACACTATTCACCACTTTGAGTTACTTATATGAAAAATAAAGACGGGAGATAATAAACAAACAAACATAAATGCAAAAGAGTGATTCTCTCACTCGTGGAACTCGGAGCTCCTTTGCTCTCCATCCGGAGTTCCTGAGGCTATGAGGGGAGAAGAGGTGCCTGGCATTTATTGGTGCCGTGAAGAATTTAGGAGGTCACCCCGGTCCAAAATGCCCCCCTCCCCCTGGAGTCTGGCTGATGAGAGGAGGTGGGCCTTGAACTCCACCAGGAGTTTGAGGCTTTGTGGCTGGACTGGGAAAGAAACACCACCTGACTTCCCTGCTCCGGCCATGAGACCAGAAGCTGCTTCCTCTATTAAGCCAAAAGCTACACCTTCCCAGGAGGGGTTCCCAGAAAC